TTGGCCTTCACTCTAATACCCATTCGAACGACTGTTTAAAAAGCGCTCAGTCCATTCTCGCCTCAAGAGAACGCGTGATGACATCAGCGTCTATCATCTAAGCTATTGTTGGCGGGTTAAGCAACTGCCGAGATCGCTGAAGATCTTCGGTGTTTACAAATCACGCAAAACGCCTATACTGAATCGCATCGCGCTTTCTACAAGAAAAAGACTTCTTAAAATCGGTGTGCGAACCAGACACAATACAAACTAAAGGCCGTAAAGACAGACCTCTTTTTTTCTAGAAGCTGAATCGGAACGATGTTTTTCCAGACCTCGTATGAGCGACTCCTCACGCTTCTTATTCAATCAATGTATGTTACGGGTACACGGGCCGAACCAACAAACGTAGCTTCGCAGTGTATCAGCTTGCTACTGGTCATATTTACATAGCCAGCCAATGGCTGCACGGGTTACCACAAAACGACAAGGCGAGCTTAACACCAGTGCGAGAGAGAGAGAGAGAGAGAGAGGCATCGTGAGCTTTACCCAGAGACATTCTGGCGTGAGCTCTTCTGCTTGCCACCGTTCTCGTTTTTACCAGGCAACAGTTAAATGCCACACGTATGTTGAATTCCCTAGCCGTTGGCCACTAGACCACGCTATTCACTAGCTTTCCGAATTGATTCGGACAATTCGGAAAGCCAGTGAATAGCGTATATAGGGTTAAGCGTCGCGACTGTTGTCAGAGGGGACGCGGGCGACGGTCACATAAAACACTGTACTTCTGTATGAATACAAGCTAAATTGACGGTCAATGCGTGTGTGAATGTGTGTGTGTGTGTGTACAAGAGAAAAAAAGCTAAAGCGAAAGAGAAAATTAGTTTAGGATTTATCATCTGGTAAATAATACCTGCTAGACGTGAAGCAACAATGAGCTATTTAGCTTTGTCAAGCCAGTATTAGTCCTCCACCGAAGTGGCAACAATGGCGGCTGTATCTAATGGGTATTGTATAGAAAATAAAATTTCGAAAAATGAACTCTTGAAATCGAGACATGCCGATAGACGACCTTTGGCAGCAACTTAGCGTTCACTAGGAACTTTTCATCAACTACTGCGGTAGACTGGTTCAAACTGTATTAACAAAAACAAAAAGTCATAAACATACGAACGATCTGTTCTCGACCGCCAGACATAAGCACGGTAAGTAGTTGTTCAAGTTCGTGCGTCGGGTCCATTGTGTGCCGATTATCTTTCAGGTGCTAATTTAACTACAAGCGAGTAGCTGACAAGATAAATAGAGAAATACTAGACATGAAGATCGATCGTGTCGCAATGAGCGTAGTTCAGCAAGCTTGTGCGTAAGTACTAGGATAAAAATGTCTGTAACGGTAGCCAATGGTGACCTCTTAATAACGGCAAGAAAAATTATACTAAAACACCGTTCCATTGGAGTCTTTTTCGTCACTCACCGTATTTCGTGCTCAAAGCTAGTGGGTTATTCATTGATCTCTCTCACAGCGTCGAATCCATCCGCAACGGCCTTACAAATACGGACGCGGTATAAATACTAGCCTGAGCGTAAAAATGCGTGAATTGTTGATGACTTCGCTCACTTAATACATTCTTATACACTTAAATATGGCACGGTGGCCTTCTAAATCTCATTTGCTTTGTGTACCGCTACCTATCTTCAGAGCATGGCGTAGTAGATAGACCATGGCGGTCTTCCGCTGAGGTTTATCTACTCAAGTCTACGTTTATCTCGACCTTAGTAAGCTCATACGAAGACCTAGACACTAGGCTCATCGAAACGTTTTCGAACAACTGAAAGGACAAAGCCATCAAAGGCCAACTAACCTTCATCCACAATAGCAGTCCGATAGAAAACCGAGACGTAATAGGAGAAAGAGGTTCTAGAAACATGCACATTGTCCTGCTTTAAGAAAAGTGTAAAATAATTGCGCCGTGCTAGAAACAACGCACGCAATCGGGTCGACCCACTGGCTACGTAACACATACAAGCTTAAGATTTAGCTCAATATACATATATTATGCCCCGCCGATAAAGGATACGGGTATAATAAAGACGACAACAGTGTCTTCTTGTTCATAGGTATTACCACGAAACTGTCTCGTTCATGAGTATTACCCCGCTTCCTGTTCTGCGAACTTCCTGTTTCTTCTCAACAAATAAGAATAGCAGCCATTGTTCTACAATGAAACATATAAATTACGATTTGAATTGTATAAAACTTACCGTTCTATAACTATAAAACTAACTCTATTGTACCTGTAGTGTAGGGGTATATTGAACTTAGACAATTTTGTAAGTTGGACGTCATATACCGTCATAACTGATCATAAAACGTCGAAGAGTTCCTAATAAACAGTGTTTTATTATTTGACAAAAGTAACGACTCAGAGTATACAGTAACCGCTGAGAGTAAAAATGTACAGGTAACATCTGCTTAAGCCTGGGAATAAATAAACCCGTGTACTCATTTATGTAAAATACAAATGGCAAATGTCTGTAATAAAATCGTAAAATAGCTGAGTGGAAGCATGTTTAGAAAGTGTTTTTACGGAATCATCTCCATACGAAAATTTACTGCGTTCAACGAATACTCCATTGTCTGTATTGATTAAAGCTTCATACCCGTAATATTCGACAACGAGCTTGTCCAAAGCTACTTAGGAAGAACGTCAGTCTCGTTGAAGGAAACGAACTTTAGACAGAACCTTTGGTTACGCATGATTCATGCAAAGCCAAATAAATGATTTAGTTTGTGTATGCTGAAGGTGATGAAATTCACTGAGGATTAATGATAACACTGGGAGAAGAAGATCAGTGTCCTACAAATACAGTTTAAGGGAGGATGGATACGAAGCTTTTGAAAACATAAAAGAACTGACTACATCTCAGGGCCTCAAACAGTAGATTGGGTCGCTGTGATCACGAAAGCTTTTGTGCGAAATAGAGCATGGACAATTCACGTCCTGGAGGGAGTCGCGAGGTGCATGTTTTAAAATCATAACAGTAACGTTGAAAACAAAGTAAGAAAGCAAAATGGGTTTCTCATGAGCTGAGTTCAGAACAGAGGAAAACCTGTGTTGTAGGCTCTAGAAATAATCGGCTATTACGGTCAAAAGGACATGGCTGGAAGTCATTGTTGTTATAGACAACAAGGCCTTGATATCGTTTACCAATACCTCGAATTTCTGTAAGAAATTAGTATACACTGAAGTACCGTCACTTTATCGCATACAATTCGAAAGCTTTTCGACCCACCGAATAGTTTCTGAAACAAACTATCATGAGATTTATGCTACTAACGTAAAATCTATCCGGATAACGTACGATTTCGGAACACCGACTGCAAGACGACAACCTAAGCACAGCCGATATTGTACCTACTACAGCCCCTTAAATAACAACTCCACCTCTAATTTACTCTCTATGCTTCGCTTATAATGGTGGGTCGCATATTTTATGGCAGTCCTGTTATAAACACTGCATTACTCTGACTTGATTCACATTGGAATACTTTAATGTGGTTTTGTGATATTTTACACGAACGGTCCAATGATCCTCCTTCTACCTACGAATATCTGAATGTAGCTCTGGTGGCCTTTACTCGATAGAGAGTATAAAGTTAACAATGTGGAGAATACCGTCCATTTTATCATTCCAGCCAATAATAGCGGTGCTCGAAACGCAAATGAAGAAATGTCTGTTACCCCCTCTGCTGAGAAGCCACACATCCAATCTTTATGTGAGCACTATCCAAAGGAAGTTAAAGTTGGCTGTTATGTGGATAACAGTATACGCTGAAGTGCAAGGTAATATCCGAACCATTTCTTCCAGATCTATTTTGCTTCAGCGATCATTGTTGCGGGTAATTGGCGGCGGCAATGAGTCATGCCGCTGTTCTCAGTGTGCCTCAGTTCTGTGTTTTGGCAAATGGCGCCCACGGCGTTATGCCGGTCGCAGAGGATTTACGCAGTGATACTGTAATGAATGCTAAGCAATAGAAGTGCCTGTTTAGCTGGCTTTCGGCATCAAGCGTTTGTATAGGGAGTGCACTAAAATAAATATAACGTTTTGATATTATGAATGGTGTGACCGATCGACCAACCCGAGGCTAACCAATATAAGGAATATTTGCAGTGTACTTCATTAGAATTACATTTTGACTAACAATGAAGTTAGTTGTGATAGGGATCTACCATGCGATAGGGGAAATCTGAAATGTATATATCTATCTGTTAAGGAATAGTAAAAATAAATGAACAAATCGATGAGGCGCAATAATCTGCTTAGGAGTGCCGGTAGTGGGTGCGTCATCAAACGCATCTACGTGATTAAACAGAGTCTTCGAAATTTTATAATGATCGTACATTTCAAGCTTGTCCGGGTTTGGTTAGCAATATCTGAAATGCCGACCGTTTTCTAATAGAGCTCGGATATTGATGAAAAATTATTATTTTGGGGGTTATTTGCTTGTTTAGGTGTAGGCCTATAAGCTGATTCCAGCACGAGCTAAGAAGACGTGCCCGTCCCCCCAGGAGAAACGGTCTCCTTACCTTAAATCCATGTCTAAACAAACCTTCTTACAAAGAATGAGTGCAAATGTTCAAATATGCATGTGT